TATAAAAATAATGTTGCTGTAAGAAGGCAAATGCAAAGGAATCTATTGACAGGAAAATATGGTTTAGTTGTGAGTCGTTCAAAGATATTTTTAATTTTAGTGATATGCTTTTCCCAGGATAAAGATTTTACTTCCCCTTAAAAGAAGTCGAATCAATCGGAATATGGGTCATCGTCGCTTTCCGAGTGTCTTTAGAAATGAAATGAGAGCGATGAAGACCATAGGAAGGATCCCTTTCAAAAGTTGTTTTGTTAGATGGCAGTGGTTTGAATGAGGGTGTTTTTCTGGTTTAGTGATGTGAGTTATAAGATCTCCCTAACAACTTAGCTCTTCCTCCTTTATGCGATGGAACTATTTATCCGTCGCCCGCTTTGTCTGAACTGCAAGTTATAGCTCTTGAAAAAAATGATTCAGCTGTACTACCCCCTTGCATTGCAATCTGGGTAAGTATTTCCTTGCATGTAGAGAATAAGATAAAACTCTTGCCCGTTTCATTGTTAAGTCTTGCATACAAAACATAGTGAGATTTTCGCGTTATTTGGATTTATAAAGTTTCTCCAAAACTGTTTTTTTTTTAATATATAACCCTCTACCTCACTATTGCTGGCATACCAGGGGGGGGGGAGAAGGATTTGTTCAAGAGTTACAACCAAACTTTTTTTAATGTTCGAGCGGATTCGCTGGCGCACGAAATGGAATTTAGGTTTTATAAGATCTGTTTTATAAAGACCTTTTGTGAGAACCTTCGTGTCTGTCTCAGACCCTTACAACCCCCTGTACTTTTTCAAAATGCTTACAAAACTGTTGTGGCATAGTCCGTGCGCTGCGCTCCCATTCATGTTATAGTTTTACTTTTTCTTTGATATTTAACGTTATGTGAAGATCTGCAGTGTGTGAAAAAAAAAATAAACACTACTCTAACGACAGCGGGCTTTCAAATGTGAACAACCAATTTTGCTCTACTGGAACGTTAAGGTCATGATTGATAATTTTATTTTTTATTAAGTAGGGATACTTGAGGAATTGGCAAAGGATTTTGGATTGCTAAGATTATGTACGAGAAAGATCGTCTTTTGTGTGCATTCAAAATAGGACGCTTATAGATATGAAATAGTTGGTAGCTCATCTATCAACAGAAATAAGTGGAGTATTATTAAATGATACTATAGGACATGGAGTCATACGTTTGTGACAGAAGGTAAAGGTGATTTGATGGGATTCAGAATTCATTTCCTTGCTAAAAACCTTTTCTTACCCAATTTTCTTTTGTGATAGCTTATAATTCACTTACTATGATATCTATAATATCTTTATATAATAGTATTTATATAATAATATCTTTATTTGAATATAATATATTGAAAACTATAATATCTTATAAAATAAATTATTTGCAATATTTTTATCTGATGAACATAGCTAAATCGTCAGTCGACTTTATAATAAAAATTCATCAAGTGTTCTGAAAATAATAATTTACACTTGAATGGATAAACATATGCCGATTTGAGAAAGTGATATATGTGAGCATAAAATAATCAAAAACATTCATATGTATTTGTGGTTTATTTGAAAAATTATAAACCTCTTAAACCTGAAATGGTGAAATTTAATTATACTCTGGCGGATTTAAAATTTTACTCCTATGCAATCTCTGGATCCCAATGATATTCTGATATGATAATATGATGATATGATGATGATATGATAAAAAATAATTACGGTGAGCGAGCACGTTCAGGAAATATAGTGGGTTCAGTTTACATCTGGATGAGTTAATATTTGAAACTAACTTGAATTAGCAGCAACGAAAAGGGCTAATATGCAAATTTTCTCACTATTATCCCATTCTTCTGACGAAGATAAAGCTGAGGAGTTCGCCATTCACCTATCCAATACATTTATTTCACATCCGGAATCCCATCCTGCCCACACCGTAACAGTAGAAGAACTCCTTACATCACCAATCCCACTTTCCTTGCCCCCAAAAGCTATTCATCCTTCCGAAGTAAAATTTCAATTAAAAAAACTAATCCTCCGTAAAGCTCCTGGACATGATCTCCTTACACCTCAAATCCTTCGACAACTTCCATCCAAAGCAGTCATATTCCTTACATATATCTACAATTGTATCCTACGCACCACCCACTTCCCTCTGTTATGGAAACACTCCACTATTATCCTTTTCCCAAAACCAGGAAAACCTCTCAATAGCTCAACATCCTATAGACCAATCAGCCTACTCCCAATCCTTTCAAAAATTTTTGAAAAGATCCTTTTGAAACGAATCCTACCCATTATAGAATCCCAAAATATCCCTTCCCATCAGTTTGGTTTTCGCTCTCAACATTCTACTGTTCAACAAGGACTCCGAGTCGTTGATCATATTTCCTCAGCCCTAGAAAACAAGGAATACTGTTCGGGTGCCTTTCTGGACATTGCACAGGCATTTGACCGGGTATGGCACTCCGGACTGCTCTCCAAGCTTAAAATCCATTTACCTCAGTCCTTGTACCTAGTCCTCCGATCCTACCTCTCTGACCGCTCCTTTCGAGTTCGCTGTGGAACAGAATTTTCCAATATCTACTCCGTTAAAGCCGGTGTTCCCCAAGGCAGCGTCTTGGGTCCCGTGCTTTACATCCTCTTTACTGCTGACATCCCTGTTCATCCCGATACTTTTCTTGCAACATTCGCTGACGACACCGCAATCTTATCATCCAACTCTGATCCTGAAATAGCATCCTTAAATCTCCAAAGTCATCTCACCTTGATTGAGCACTGGTGTAATAACTGGCGCATTAAAGTTAATGAATCTAAATGCCAACACATTACTTTTACACTCCGACGCAATTCCTGTCCACCAGTACTCTTTAATTCCATCCAGCTTCCTTATTCAGACACAGTCCGGTATCTTGGCTTTCATTTAGACCGAAGACTAACTTGGAACCCGCATACTAGACTCAAAAGACAAGAACTCAACCGACGATACGGCCAACTATACCGACTACTAAGCAGAAAATCTAAACTTTCCATTGAAAACAAGCTACTGATCTACAAGACAATACTGAAACCTATTTGGACTTACGGACTAGAACTGTGGGGATCAGCAAAATTTTCTAACATCAAGCGCATCCAATCCTTCCAGTCTAAAGTCCTTCGAACAATAGTCGATGCTCCTTTCTATGTATCCAACAAAACCCTACATCATGACCTTAACATCCCATTTGTCCTAGACCTTATCCCAGAAAAGTTCTCCAAATTTCACCAGAACCTTACTTACCACCCAAATCCTCTTGCACAATCCCTATCAAGCATCTCCCATCCCTATAATCCTCCAAGAAGGTTGAAACGGCAGTGGCCTCGCGACCTTTTGTAAATTATATAAATTGGAGTTCTGGCAATGGCCAGATTCTTCACTCAAGACATGTGTGTATGTGGCTAAAGTGCTCTCGACCAATCTCCGCTGGCTTTAGTACCAGTGACGCGGTTGGAAGAGTAGCGCAGGGTTCTCCTGGAGTTCCCTCGCCTGATTGTATATAGGTATGCATGTTATTTTTTTTTTTTTTTTTCCTTAGTTTTAATTTTCTTATTTTTTTTAGGTTATTTTATTTTATTGTCTATTGTATATACTTTTGATTATTATTTTGTTCTATTTATTTTATTTTTTTGTACATATGGTGTGAATGTCATCCTACCTCACTATAACCAATGTCGAACAGACAGATTGTTATAATACTCAATAAAGAAATTTAAAAAAAAAAAAAAAAAAAAAATTATCCCATTCTACTTTAAGTGATTAATCATATAACCGTGATATGTAAGTTCTATGGATAGAAGAGCCTGAGTGACTAAAACGCCATCTTCCAGATCAAAAAGAATCTACAATAAATCCTGATATAGTGTATTAACGGTATTATAGAAGAGAAAATGAATACCTGTTTTTTTAACAAATGTCCTATTTTACCAGTACATCCAACATTGGAGTTCTTAACATTAGTCCTGGAATAAACCTGGGAGTAAGAGAGGGATGTGATAACAGTTTTTTTTTCAATTATTTACAAAACACAAAGACTACTTCGTCCGCTTCGTTAATTATCTATTCGTTTTTTTGTGACAGATTTGATATTAGAGACCGTGTTCGAATCTGTCCTGGGCAGATTGAAATTTATTTCGCAGTGGACCTACTGAATGAATCTCGACCTTTCCACTCTGGCTAGAATAGGATTGATTGTACAACTCTGAAGCAACCTCTCTCCTGCCTCCATATGAGGAAAATAGCGAGTTAGGGAAATGCTGAAAAAAAAAGTTTTAGAGGAACGTTAAAAGTTCAAAGAACGTGAAAAAGGTATTATATTTTATATATTCTCAGCATTCATAGCTAGAAGCATAAGGTGGTATTTTTGTCTTAGTTTCTGATCCAATAAATTTTGTTTTTTTCTGTAACCTGAATTTAATATTAAATAAACTGTTCACAAATAAATTAACTATTAAAAACATTTTGTTTATGTGAATTGTGATAAACTTTTTTTTCGTATGCTATTAATGGCGATGTAGGGGATAGCTGAAAAAAATTTAATTAAAAAGGTTTGGTTATTAATTTTATTGTGAGATCTAATCAAACAAATGTTTTATTTTATATGCCTTGAACGTAATGAGAAATAAAAAAATAAAAATAAAAAAATTATTATTCATATAATTTTTTTAAATTGTTCATTAATTAGTATAAGTTTCATTAGCATTAAGTTAATTTTTTAGAAAAAGCGACATTTGTTAGATTAGAACACAAAATCAAATTAAAAATCTTTTTTTTTTTTTTAAGTGCTCGTTCCAGAGTGGTACAAACAAGTTTATTCTAACCAGAGCCATTCCTACTCATAAATTACTAGATCAACTATTAAAATATATTTGCTTATATGAATTCTGATGAACATTTTTTGAAAATGAGAAACAGTTCAAAGCATGTCTTTTTTTTTTTTGCAGGTGGAGATGGGGGCCTAGGGATGCTGGTGCTGGCGCTGCTGGCGGTGGCCCGCGGGGAGCAGTGCGGGGGCCACCTGACTGCCGACCGCGGGCTCATCGCCACCCCCGGGTTCCCCGGCCCCTTCCAGGTCCCGATCCGCTGCCTCTGGCTGGTCTCCTCCGCCAGCCCGACCGCCTCTGTTGCCGTCCACCTCAGCCAACTCTACGTCAGTGCCGGCCTAACCTTCACTGAGTACGCCTATTACGAACCCGCCTCGTCCTTCCAGCTGGAGCCGAGGGTAGTCCACAGGGTCACGGAGGAGAACCTTCCCAACACCTCGCTCGTAGTCACCTCCAGGCCATTCTTGGTGGTCGAATTCTCTCTGGACCGGTTGGAAGGCAACCATCTGCGGGCTCTCGATGGCCTTTTGGACGTATACGGCTTCAACATTACCTACAGTATCCAGACGGACGCTTCCCATCTTCCAGACTTCTCTTGCACTGCAGCCAAATGTTCCATGCTTGGGAATTGCTACGCCACGGCCGACTATTCGTAAGTCTTCCAAAACTTTCAAAAGATACTCTTAACTAAGTAATATAAGGCTGTTTTATATTCTTTGATGCTAGTTGTTTGTTTGTTTATTTAGGCTTTAAGTCGTAAAACCATAGGGTCATCGACGCCTGTGAGTCTCTTATATTTGTAAACTCTTTAGAGGAGAAGTAATAATTATTAATAGACAGAGTAATAGATGAAAAAGATATTAAAAAAAATATAAGAAATGAAAATATTAAAATCACTGTTTTTATGTTTGATTCTTTGTTGTTTAATACTGCAGGTATATTCGGTTTTAGAGGTAATTGATTTAGGCTTGAAGTATAATAAGTGCATTCTTGAAAATATGATTGACTGTTTGATGCTAGTTGTTCACCAACGATAATTTTTTTTTCCCCTCTGTCCCTAAAGGTCATTGACCTGATATCTCAATTTTAAATTTTTGAATAAAACTCTATTTTTGTTAAAAATATTTTAACAGTTTCTCTATTTCTTGTTTCTCATCTTGAAGGATTTCTGCCATCTTCGTCCCCATCTATAGATTTTCTTTTAGAGCAGTGTAGCTACTACACTCAAACAGTATATGCTTCACTGTTCCAATCACTTGGCAATGGTCGCACGTTAGGTCTTCTAATCCTCGCAGGAGGTATCCAAGACAAAGAATAAAATCCAACATAAATTCGAAAACGGTTTAACATTTTTCTAACTTATGTTCCCTTGATATTCCTCCACAAAATTCAAATATTTGCTGGAACGGTGGACACTCGATTATCATCAATTCATGGCCAAAAAGAGAATGAAAAGTCGGAAATTTGTTTACACTATTTTTCCTTTGGGGTAGGCTTAATAAAAAAAAAACATGCACTTCGTCACAAACCTAATTTTTTAAAAATAATATTTTGTATTTTTATGGTAAACAGTATAGTAAAATATTTTAATTTTGACAGAAATAATCTTGATAAACAATTGATCGAATCAAACTTTTCTCTTCCTTTCGCTCTCCTCCCCTCCCCAAAAAATGATTCTTTATTCGTTAAAAATACGATTTATGATTTTAAATAATAATTTACATATGTCATGGCCTACTGATGATTAGCTTTCATGTAGCTTAGTATTGCCCAAAATCGGTCTTGGTCACTTTGCACTTTTGCAAGACCGAGACCTCCTTATTTTATGCAAGACTAGACCCTGCAAGACTTGAAAGAATGAAAGAATGACCTGCAAGACTCTTGTGGTCTTGCAATAAAGTCAAACTGAAATTATTTTCAGATTTATTACGGTACTTAAACAGTTTAACCGTGCTTTAAATCTAAACAGCGTTATTTTTCTTGTTGAATTGTAGATTTGAGTATAATAATAATAACCAAAATAAATCATTTGCCAGGAGCGGAGTAAGATAGAAAAAGAAAAAAAAAATCATTTTAAGAATATAAATAGTTACTCCTCTTAAACCTCCCAGAAGTGGACACTTCTGAAAAGAATAAAAAATAAAGATTCTTTTCTATTCTATTCTATATAGATAAAAAAAGATTAGTAATCTGTAATTTTTGTCTGAAGTCTCATAACTATTTTATTTTCCAAATAGCTATATGTAGATAAAATCAGTACAATCCTTTCACTTTCGTTCTTCAAAATGATAATGGTTTTTCTGCCTACGAATTCGTGGCAAAACTTCTTCAATATTCATTGAGGATTTGGAGCACTTAGAGATCACGAAAATGTATTGTCAGATCAAAGATCCAGGAACAGAATTACTGGAAATGATAGTGCGAATGCTGGAGGGTTAAGGTATGAGCCTGGCGAAATCATTCATGTGGCACTTGAACTACGGTATATAGTAACTACTCGTAAACAATTATTTCTTGGTAATGACATTACCGCGTTTTGTCAGCAGCATAAAACTCATTACACCCAACCAAATAACAAACTAGTTGGTGATCTGGGATTATGTTGTTAGAATCTAGGATGGGATACAGGGGTTTTAAGATGAGTTTTTCTAGGATTTTGCCCATGATGGGTAAAAGAGATATTACGGTAAGAGGATGGGTATTCTGTTGGTTTTTATGTTTGTGGATCATTTTAACAATAGATTTCCAAGGATCAGGAAAATATGTGGAACGGAGTACAGCATTTTATATGTAAGTAAGGAATAGGATGGCTTTTCGAGGAAGTTTTAGGATCTGGGATGTAATTAGGTCATGGCCAGGAACTTTACGGGAAGGTAATTTTTGAATGATGTTGGATATTTCTATGGGATAAAATACTTTGGGTGGCAGAGACATTTGGAGAGGAATATCCAGTTCTGCTTCAATACAATTGATGTGAGTTGAATTAAGGATATCGGGATGTGGGTTAAAAGTTTGGAAGAGATGTTGACCAAATAGTTGGGCTTTTTCTTCGTCGGATTTTGACCAGGTTTGGGAATCAGTAAGTAGTGGGTGATTAAAGTCTTGAAACTTAAGAAGTTTTTTGGTGGTCATCCATAATGATTTGTCAGTGGTTGTAAGTTTTTCAGTAAAATTTAGTAAATTTTGAATTTTGTATTTTCTAATTTCTGATTTCAGTTTGTTAGTCATTTGGGTGTAATGCGATTTATCTGTTGGGTATCTAGTCCTATGCCACTTCGAGCTTGCTCTGTGTTTTTCCTGTAATAAGATACGAATATGCTGTTGCAAGTTAGTATTTTCTGGGAAGTTAATCTTATTGATAAAGGTGTTATTATTTATACTGTCTGTTATTGATGATGTCAGTTTTTCTATGGTACCATTAATGTCTTCTTTTGTCTTTAGCGGGATTTTGAGGTCTATTTGTTTTCCAAATCATCACGAAATTTGTCTCAGTTTACTCTTCCAGTGATCAGTTTAGGAAGTGATGGTTTAGGAGCAAAGTCAGAATGTAGTAAAATCAGAACTGGACTATGGTCTGAAGAAAGGTCATCCAGGGATTTGATTATAGTTTGGGAGGAGGAAATCTGGGAGGTGATAAATATGTCCAGGATATCGGGACGTTTTTTGAGGGATGTTGGGAAATAAGTAGGATTCATGGGAGAGAGGATGGAATAATTGTTGGAAGAAGAAACTTGTGTAAGGGTATTACCACGGGAGTTGGATGATTGACAACCCCATCGTTGGTGTTTGCATTGTAATGACCCCGTATGCCGGAAATGGCCAGGTAGGGAAAAAAAAAAAAAAAAAAAAAAAAAAAAAAAAAAAAAAAAAAAAAAAAAAAAAAAGGTGTTTGCATTGTAGTCTCCTCCAGCAATAAAGTGCGATCCGAGGGATTGTAATAAGAATTCAACTAGACTGTACGAGAGGGAATTGCCAGGAGGACAGTATACAGCTGAAAGTGTTAGATGGAAAGGACGAGTTGAGAGGATTACAGAAGTTGACTGAATGGCATATGTTGGAATGGAAGGAATAAGGGAATGTGGTAAAGATTTGTGGATAAGGATGCAAGAACCGGCGTGGGCAGTGTTGTCTGGGTGGTCAGATCTATAGGTGATGTTGTCACGTATGTAAAAATGTGTCCGTTGGGTGAAGTGAGTTTCTGTTAGGAGGGCAATGTCAATATAATTGTCATGGAGAAATATGTCTAGTTCGTCACGGTGGTTTTGCAGTCCGTTAGCGTTCCATAAGAGAATATCTAGGGACTTTGTGTTCATCGAGGGAAGCTAAGCGGGATTTCGGAAAGGAGTCTGGTTAGAAGGGTTATGAGTGGTTTGATAGTCTGTTGAAGATCTATCAGGAAACTTTAGAATTAAAATAAATTCCATCAAATTACCTTTACCCTGCGTCGCAAACTTATGAACTTCTGTCCTACAGTATCCTTTAACAATTCCCCACTTATCCCAGTTGAACAGATCCGTTACCTAAGACTCAACCTCGACGAATAACTCATATGGAATCCTCATATAAGACTGAGGCAACAAGAAGCCGCTCGACGCCTACGACTACTCCTATACTTACTAGAAAAATTCTCAAAGCTTTTAATCAATTACAAAAGACTCATACAGATGGCAATAAAAATATTTATTTGGATTTACGTAGTTGAAATTTGTGACTCCACTAAACCATCCAATTCCTCTTGTATCCAATCCTTACAATCCGAAATCCTTCGTAAAATCCTCCTTAATTTGTCAGAATTAATGTTCCATATATTTCCGATTTGGCCCAATCCAGATACCTAACCTTCCATAACAAACTTCAGAACCATCTGAACCCTCTCGTTTCAAACCTTGCTTCCCACTGACAACCCTCCGAGGAGTTTGAAAAAAAGGTGGTCTCGTGGTCTCCTTGTTTAAATTTATTATTTGAGTGCTACCATTGGGTAGTTTCTCAACAAGCGTTTTCTTTTTATTATATTCCTGAGTGCACATTTACTTTATGTATTTTTTTTTTAAATACAACTGTAAATATCATGAATGAATAAAAAAAAAATCATAATTTATAAGAACTGTTATTATAGACCTATAAATAACATTATAGACCTATATAAACTAAGAACCATTATTATATCCTTAATATATATATAAGAATGGTTATATAATTGTAATTAAATGTTAATTATATTTTTGATTATATGGTATATGAAATGTTGAGAGGTGTACTACCTTACGAAAATCAAAGAACACCAGCCTCCCTCTGTTATATCTAAAGGCATAATTACCCAAATCACAAGGCTCATTGGAAACACACAGAAGCCTTTCAGTTAAGTCCAATTTGTTCTACAGTAGAACACTAACGTCAAAGTAAAGATTGATAGAGGAAATACCAATTAACTTTTGTATCTTTAGTTATTTTTCTACTAAAAGGGGGAAAATGGAGAATGGTATCTTGATAACAGGAAAGTTTATCTCGTTCCTATATTTTCTCAGATTCATACTTCCTTTTTCACCTTTGGATTTTTCTCTCTTTTATATTATAAATATTACTCATGTGTGTAATATTTCTGATGCTTAACAGGAAACCGCACGGAAATAAATAAGATATATATACATGGTGTCTC